AATATGTAATTAAAAAATAAAGAAAAGTTTTTTGTTTACATATAATATTATTTTAACGAAAAGTGTGTGATTAAAAAGAAGAGAGAAATATATTTTGATCAAAAAAAAAAAAAAAAAATACCAAACAAAACAAAACCTAAAATGTGACTTGACCCTTGTTTGGCCCCACTAAATTTAATTTATTTTTTTCTCTCCTTTTATTAACCACGAATTATAATATTATACATAAACTTAAAAATTCTCCTTACTTTTTAACCACGCATTCTTCAAAAAACACTACTTGAAAATCTATTTTTTTTTTCCAAACAATGGAGCTCAAACAAGGGTAATAGAGGTTGAACAATTAAAGAAAAAAGTTGTAGCGTCCAGTGCTACTTACTAAGCCCCCATATGACAACCGTTAAAACAAAACTCTTCTTTTCTCAAATTTATTTTTAACTACACATTCTCACAATAAATTATTTTCCACTCAAATTCAAAAAAAAAAAAAGCATACTTTTTAACAACATATTTTTCAAAAAGACAATTCCAAAACTCATTTTCCTAAAAAAAAAAAAAAACTCGTTAAAATGGTTGTCAAACTAGGACTAAAAATACACTAAACAAATACATATTGCGTGTTGCGTGCATATTGTAATCATACACGGTATAAAATAAAGTAGTGTTGGAAAAAATGTAACATAAAAACATAATATGGTAATAAATAAGCATGTAAACTCATACTGTGAAATATCTGAAGGTTGAGATCCCTCTTTGAAATCTCCTGATTAGGAGGAAAATCACAGCATACAATTTGATGCAGACAGAAAATCACTTGAGACTAAGCTTCCACACCTCTCGAACGTTAGAGGAACCATCAGCAACCTCGGAAACGAGAGAAGAGGCAAAAGCACCTACCAGGAAAAAGTTACTTTAGCAGATTAGAAATACAAAAAATACAATCTGAAGCTACACATGGGGCATGCTTCATATTTTCCAAAACAAAAAGAACAAGATCCAAGAATGCCAATCGATGCCGTGGCCCAGACCAGAAACTCCGTCCAGAATAAGGCATAAGAACAGCCCGGGCAGTTTCATAAATCAAACCACAGATCGCACCTGCCACGTTTTCTTTTCAAGATTCAAAAGAATTTTAAACAATATAATAGCAGAGGAAAAACAGAAGTTCTATATCGAGTAACTGCTATCCCACTTTGGTGTTTGAAGCTTATATTGGGAAAAACAAAAGGACCACTACCATCCTCCCATTACTAATAAATGCACAACAGCACATGCCCCAACAAAAGGAAAAAACCTGATTAAGTGCTCGTTTGGTAGTGCTTTTAATTTTATGATCTTAAAGAATGTGTGTATAATATGTGAATAGTAATTGGGTCCTACGAAATGTGTGGATAATAAGTAGGTTTCACCAACTTAAATTATAATTTAAGATTTGCTAAAACATGCTTTGTTAAATATGGACTATTACATCAATTCACAAAGGGGAAAAAAAACAAAACAAAATGACACAAAAACTTTACGAGACAGAACTCAGAACTAATAGGAAGGATGATTTAGTGCATCAAAACTGATCAGAAGACAAGTTTCTATCAGCCTCGGAAATGAAACATAATTAAGAAATGCTGAAATAGTAAAATGATCCACTCTCATTTAGCCCCTGTTTGATCCACATTCTTGAAAAAATGCATTCTTCCTCTACTTATTTTCAACTACACATTCATCAATAAAATAATATTACACGCAAATCCAAAAAATTTCCTTATTTTTTAACCACATATTTTCCATCATATCACTTGAAAAAAAGCATTCTTTTCCCTACAATGTGCATCAAACACACCCTTATTGTAGTGCAGAGCAGATCTAACAAAATGAAGCTCACCGTCTTTTTCAACCATAGAGATAAACCGCCTTGATCCTCCTCCCACCCCAAAATAATGTTTCTTTGCTGCCATATACACAACTCCATGAGGACGATTCCCACACTGATCAAAAGACAATAGAAAGGGGCTTAGCAATAATTAAATTATTGAAAATAAAAGGACATTCGAAAACTAAATCAAGAGGCACCTTCTTTATCAGTTTGAAGAGACTGGGAAGGGCAGAAATTGAGTAAACTGTCTCTGCCATGAGAATGATATCATAACCAGCTATCTCATCACTAGATACAAAAGGGAGAATGGAATGGACTTCACCCCAGTCACCTGCAAAGAAGCGAGTATCTGCCTCAATGCTGCTGCACTCATTCACATCTGTCAAGTACTGAGACTTCTTTTGAATATTAGCTTTCACATTGGGAATGGTGAGATGCTGCAGGACCTCGGCATTAAAATCCTGGAAATGTACTGTAGCAGCACCCTAAGGCAACAAAAAGATAATAATAAGTTATTTTATTGAGACGAATTATCGTAAAAATCAAAATGTCAATGTGAGTTTATTTACCTTTAGGCAAGCAAAGATCCCAGGAAGTCCATGACCACATCCAAGCTGGAAAATGACAAAGGAGAATCTGTACGGGTCAGCATGAAAGGGAAAACCCAAACCACATGAACTTTATTTCAATCCAGTCAAACATGTGTACAATGCCAGTATGGTTATACATATTTCACAGAGGATGAGGATAAAAATTACATGCATAAGCAATTATACTGGTATCCATTATTCAATCCGATTCAAGTTTCTATTTCTTTCCAGTACTGTAAATGATATTTTAACTAGATATTTTAGTACTTTTTGAGGCGCCTATTTTCTTGCAGACTATTATGACTATATTGGGGTAGTCACTAGTCAGCCTTGATCTATACCAAGTAGGAGTCCTTAATGAGGTGCAATCGACTGTCGCTACACTCTCAGATAGAAAGCTTCAAGATGTTCTATTTACTACATGAGATGTACTAGGTTGTTTAGAACTATAAAGCCTTATGTACAAACTGCATTTAGGGATCCTAGTACGACTACATCTGACAAACTTCTACAACAGTGAGAGAAAAGGAATGAGTATGGTACGGGAAGAAAATGTTTGCTTCATCTAAATGGGCTTGAATTGCAACAGTTCCTCATGAATATATAGGTGAAAGATATCAGAGATACTCTAAAGCAATCTTTGAGCAATTCTTGATTTTCTTGTAGGAGGATTTCTCTTCACATGCGTATACACACACTTCTTTGATTGGGGCAAAATACAGTACTAGAAAAGTAGTTGGATTTTGTCCAATAGAAGAGAAAGGAAGACATTTTATTAAAAAAATTTAATATAACCAAGTGCATATAACAGTATTAAGCCACAGCACCTTAAAAGTTGGTATGTAAAGAAGTTGATTTCTTATCCAGTATAACTTAAATGTGAGAAATCCCCTCGTTTAAAAATTTAAATCATTGTTTGTCATATTATAAGGGAACAAATCAAACTTTAAGGCTTAGTTTTTAATATGTGGCAAGAAAACAGACTTTCAGTTACTTTTAATGCCTTCACTGGCTAATGTAAAACGTAGAAAAGAGTGAAAACACATCGCAAAGTTCATTTCTCCTCTGAAAACAGTTGAAAGAAAAGTAAGGAGATGCAATACTTAATTAAAACAACTGATGAAGGTAGGTTTTTGAATTTCATGTGTGTTTATTTCTTAGATTTTAATTTTCTCAGATATAATTCTTTATCTGATGATTGATGAATAATTTTTCACCATAAATTTAACAATTTCCTGTAATACATTCATAAAAGAGATGATAAAAGGTTCATGCTGTACACATTCAAATTATAAAAACCATGTTTTTACAACTGTTTGATCAATAATATCACATATCCTTCAGAAAAGAATTGTGCATATGAAGAATATCTACTTAAAAAAATTAATTCCTTTTGTCATCTCAAAATGGTATTTGGGATTGTGCATGCAAAATATGATGTCTTAATTTATCAGAGGACAGGAGCAAATTAGTAAGTCTTAGAGCAAGATTTTGGTAATCGTTTTTAGAAAGATTTGATTGACAGCGTGCGATCCTTGGATAACGGGCTCATTCAATAAACGTTGAATACACTTGTTCATTGTTTTGGCGTTAAAGTTTAATTAGTATTATGATCATTGTCGCAGCATTTATATGCAGTGAGTGCAATGATTGCAAATTCAGCATCGATGAGAATATAACAAACATAACTCCACTGGTTAGTGTTCTTAATGAAAGAGATTAAACAAAGATAGGTATACATGGATTTTATGAGCAGTAATCATGTACCGGATTATTGAATCACCTTAGCAATTAGGGCCCCACCTCTAGAATTCGCTTTCCACCGAACGACAATTTCCCATCTTGCATATCGGAGCTCAGGGCTTTGATTAAATCTATCGAACCCTCCCATAGTTTCAATCCTCCTGTCGTCATAACCAAAAAAAAAAAAAAAAGTGAATGCCAAAACCATTTGCACAGAACATCTATATATACGTGTTTCTACGCACATATACATAGTGTGCATTTACATATAAGTAGTGGCTGGTAAAATTCAAGACAGAAATTATACAGACCTTCATATTTACCGGGGACTAAATCCGAATTGGACAATGCAAAAACCTCCTGCGTACTCACCCTTCCCTACAAGAAATTCAGCATTGAATTCCATAAATAGCAGTTATTTCTATATCAATTAAACTCGATCATTAATACATCATGTCCCCTAAACACATTGTCTTCCATTTTCACCAAAATGCCTACTACAACTAGAAGAAACCAGGAAAAGGAAAAACCAAATCCTTTACCAACTCACTAGCCGCAGCATACTTCCAAACCCCCAAACTTAGAACTTGTTTGCCTAAGATTAAAAAGGTGAAGTAAATTTCAACTAACTTTTTTGTTTCGAAACATAATCCGATAAGTCACTTGCCTTAGCGCCAAAATAAGAACCCTTTTTTTAAGGGAAATTGACATCAAATATATTAAAAGATAGTGCCGCAATGACAGGAGATAGAAATAACCGAATACAATCAACCCAGCTATAAGAAACCAGAGTAGTAGTAGCAAAATGAGCCAGCTGATGTGTCGCCTGATTCTCTGAGGGATATATGTAGCGATAAGGATCTTATTTATTTCTAACTATGACCAATAAAAGAATTATTAATCTTAAACCTTACTTATTTACTTATAAGTAAACTTTTCAGCTTAGCCAAACATACTATGAACTCAAATTTATAAATTTTACAATGTAAAATCTTCTGCACTATAATCAATCGAAAAAGACAAAGCAAAAATTCAACTTCATGATATTTATGATTAATACTTCACCTTGAGCAGTGTAAGCCCATCAACATTCACAGGTTCCACAGTATACTTGACATTTGATGAAACCTAAACTTCACAAATTCAGACCAGCCATTAATACTTCAAAAAAATACGAATATAAATACAAAACTCAACTAGTCGATGTTTATAACGCAGTACCTCTGAAGGGACTACTTCAAGACATGGTGGCGGAGGTGGGAGGGGCTTTTCCGGTAAATCAAAAAACCCAAATCCTGAAGTGGGTTTTGCATCAAAGAGACGAAAGTTCGTTTCTTGCTGTGAATTTGATTGGTTCGAATCCATTGCCTAACGCAGTTTCGAGCCTCAATAGTTTTCGGTATTATTTGCCGTTAGAAGAAAAGTGGTGTGCAGCGTTGGCCCATGTGGTT